AAACAAGTATTCCTTATGGTACGAGAATAGTTGAAGTGGAAAGTTGACGAGTGTTCAGGTAGCCAAACACAAACTTTTGAGACTAGTAGAATCGAATGTGCAAAACAGTGCAAAGTGAATATCGAGTCCTTGAAATTCTAGGTTAATCCTTTCGAATTATTAGTAAACATTCAATAAATGTTAATGTTAATTGTGAAATGAAGTCTGTGCTAAGTCTGATACACCAAAATCAAAGACTATGATGATGTGACAAAGATGCGACTTGTATCTGGGAATGGCCGAAGAAGCAAAAATAAATAAACTGGAGAATGTCGAGGAGCACTCCGAAGAGTTCAAAGAAGAGGTCGGAGGATGAATGAATATTGTTGTCAAGAGAGATGATTTGACGTGTTTGACAAGATGACAAAAGGATGGCAATTAATACGAGGGAAGTGGTGAGATTCGAATGTATGTGTGTATGTGTGTACGCCGTCGTAGTAGACCATTCGCAGGTTGTTGTGGTAGATTCGGAAAGGTGGAATGTAAATGACATGACGGTGTTCCAGGAATCCAAAACAAGCTGAAATTGTATGTAAAAAAAATAAAAATAAAAAAATAGTACGAACCTTTTCTTGACAATAAAGTCTTCAGAGGATAATCTTTTGAATGAATTTGAGATTTCTTTCAACCAATGCAGCTTCCTTTCGTGATGGTATTGTCTTGTTCCTAATAGAGACAGGCAATGTAGGACCTGTAGACCTGTAGATCTGACGTTGAAATGGGAGCGTGGAAGGTATGGGAGTGTCGGATCGTAGAATAAATTATTCGAGGTCGGAAATGTTGAGCGGATTGTATGGGAAAATGCGGTAGACAAAAGAGGATGGAAATTTCAGTCGAATAGGATGGAAATCTTTGGAGTGAGAAACAGATCAAGGAGGACTTGAATGAATTCAAAAACTTCTCCAACCTATTCAAAGGAAAAGGAAGAAAATAGATGGAACAGAGATGAGGTAGAGGTAGAGGTAGAGGTAGAAGTGGTGGTGGTGGTGGTGGTGGTGGTGGAAAAGGTATTCGAGGTGGAAGAGATGGAGGGAGAGGAAGGGTAGAATATTATTAGGTGAGGGTACCCGTGGGCCGGCGTATGGATATTCCTTTCGACCTTCGAATCAGAGAAGAAGTTGTGAAATCAATTTTTGTGCGTAAAAGTGGAGGAGGAGAATACCTGCAGGGTAGAGACTAGAGAGAGGGTATCCAAGAGAAGAGAGAGGAAAGAAAAACAAATGGAGAAGAAAAGAAAAGAAAAGAAAAAAAAAAAGAGGTAAACTAAAAGAAGAGAAGAACCGAGTTTCCTTTCCTGTCTTTCTCTCCACTCGCAAAATGGACTAAAAGAATCTGGTCGTGTTCTTGTTCTTGTTCTGGTTCTGGTTCTGGTTCTTGTTTACCTCCTAGGTACATATCATATCTTCAGTTCCAGTCCATTTATGCAGAAAGTGGATTTGGGAGAGAAGTCGAGGTTACCTCTTCCCAACGATATCTGTCGAGACGCTCGAGAGTGATTGGATCATATGGATGATTTACATGGAGACACAGGACCTCCCTAGGTAATTGTCATTGTAATTGCATTTGACCATTTTATTATGATTTATGAATAAAATCGATTCATTCAATGTTGGTAATTAAAACGGGTTGGACAAGGTTCATGATTGAGTGGCTCAAGTGGAGGAATCCCTGGTAGGTGAGAATGGGTGGTAGTGGGTGGTGGTGAGTGGTGAATTGAGGTGAAGTCTGTGAAGGGGACTAGGTACGACTAGGTACGACTAGGTATTCATTACTAGGTATTCATTTACTAGGGAGATAGATCTCAAGGTGGAAATCATTGGAGGATTTCGTTGGTTGGCACTTGACTGGTGTGATGGAATCAATTCTTTCATTTCATATGGATTCATTGGTGGATGGATTGAATGGTTTATGTGTCCTGGACTCCTGGTCCTTTTATATCATTCCCTAGATCATACTAAAGAAGTAACTTTTCCTTGGGTACATATTAATTAATTTTTCACATCATCACACACAGACGACGCAGACACCGTGGATATTTAATCATCGGAACTTGGAGGCCCTGGTCAGTGGTCAGCGATGGCAGAGTATGAATTGGGAGGAAATTACTTTCCATAACATTTCAACGGTCAACGGTCAACGGTTTTAAATTGGGGTGAGGGAGGATAAGATTGGGTTGTTAGAAGTTAGAACTTAGAACTTAGATCCAAGGGGCGTCAAATCCATCACCGTGACAAGATGTGGTAGAGCGAGCTGATAGTGAGTGGTACGGTGGTGGTAGTCAAGGGAATGAGGATATGAGGAAATGAGCATGAGCAAAATCAAAATCATGGCAACCCCGAGTTGAATTCAGGAACTGTCTACTAGGTAGGTGATGAATCAGAATCAGAATCAGAATCAGTATTAGTATCAGCATCAATATCAGAATCAGGATCAGTTCAGTACCCAAGTAACATTCACCTCACCCATTCACCCATTCACCCATTCATACTCTAAATAGTCGATAGCTACCTCGTCCACAACTACGCGTAGTCTTGTTGGAGGCAAAGTAATAAGCTCATCATCAGGTGCTGATGAGTACTTCGTACCACGGTAAGATGTGCTTCTTTTTCCCACAGCCGTGCAAAGTCAAGACATCATGTAGAGAATTAATGAAATAATGAAATGGGCTATGGATCAAATACCATTGGCTCCATCGTTAATATTTGTGGGTCGGATCAATCTTCGATTCTTGATTTTGCTCTGTACCAAGGTTCAAATGCCTTGAATGGGATTTATCAGACTAATAATACGAGTAAAAGGTTGTCCTCACTTGTCCACACTCGCTCCATGATTCTCTCTCCATCATCCATCTCTAACCTTCAATACCCTTTCATTTCCATTGGCTCAAATGGCCAGAGGCAAAACAAGATGTGCCATTGATCTGATCATCGTGTAATGTCTCCGTATGATGGTGTCGTCTTCCCTCCCATTCAAGATTTGATACCAAACCTTTTACCTTTTGCCTTTTACCTTTTGCCTATTTTTGCCTTTCTTCCATGGCTCATCACTTTATTACAAGCTTACTCACTCACCTAGGTAGATGCTCATACGTCAATCATGACATATCTTCACATCCGATTGATTAAAATAGGAAGAGGATGATGTTAGACTACGAGGTACACCAAATGCGTCATGAAGAACCACGATTTATCCATCCATCCTCCATTATCCAGCGAGTCATCCATCATCCATCATTCATCCTCCTCTCATCATCCCAATCACAACCCAAGCAGCTAAATGCATAGAAGGAAGGTCAGAGTTATCCAAGTTCCAAGATTTATTATCATTTACCATTTACCATTTACCATTTACCCCCTCCCCAAACTTGTGAAACCATTCCATGTTCTTCCCTCACGCAGCCAATCCCATCGGGAAACTATATCCCAATCACAAATTTTAACCTTAACCTTCCCAATCAACTTTATTCATTTATCCCCTGGTATACTAGCTGGTATACTAGCTGGTATACTAGCTGGTATACTAGCTGGTATACCAGAAACGGTACGTACGCTGCACAATGTACAGATAGAGAGGACGCCGGCCACTTTATTTTATGGTGACCAAGAGATGAACTTGACACTGCCAGCGTGGCCATCAAAAGGATGGGCCCAGCTGCAAGCCTACTCACCAACTTCGCCATATGACTGGTCCAAATGCGACAATGAACCCCCTCTCAAGTTCTCAACATTCAAGATGATGCTTATTTTTCATTTTTCACTTGCAGCTGGGAGCTTGGGCTTGGGCATGGCGAGCATGGGAACCCGTATGCAGTGCCAGTAGAGATGGAAACAAAAAAGTATGCCGCTCATGATGTAGGTAAGAATACCTACCTACCAACCAACGTCCAGGGACGAGAAGAGAAGGCTGGGAAAGGGTAAACACGATCCGCTATGATTGTGAAGAAAGTCTCACATCCCCAAAATCATCGCTTATATTGAGTCATTCATTGGATTTCTGGGTTTCTTGGGAGACGGATTTCTCTCCATTGCCCCAGTTACGTATGAATCTGATACATACAAGCAAAAGCCAACCTATTCCGTCTTGACCGATACATGCGAAGAAAGTATATGTTTCCAATGATGTTTGACAGATTTCTTCGGCGCCATCTCAATTTTCTGAGAATAGTATCATTTTTACGATTATGGTACAGTGTACAGTGTACAGTGTACAGTGTACAATAGGAATATACTGGTAAAGGAACATGATTATTTGACTCACCCCTATTATATTAATAATTCAATTGATCAATCCATTACCATCCATCCATCAATCACCATCACCCCGTCCGGAGTACCATCTCCATCTCCATCTAATAAGCACCATACAAAATAACAATAACAACGGTAACATCATATCATTCGCGACAACCCTTCCTACCAATTTGTAATTTCCCATCCCATCCCATCCCATACCAGTCAGTCAGTATATTTCTATTCTAAACATAGAATAAATGAATGAAGATCATTTGACACCGGCCGGCTGATGGGAAATTTTTATGAAAATATGAAAATGTGAAAATTAGTTATGCAAAAAAATTGATTTCCAATCCTCGACTTTCTAGACCCCTTGGATGATGATGGATTCTAAAGATCCATTAATATTTTAATATCTACAAGCCTACCTGGGTAGTAGGTATACGGAGTTGCACTTGATCTTGATCGGGAGATTCATCCCTGTTTCTGTCTCTGTCTCTGTCTCTGTCTGTCTATCTGTCTATCTGTATACCAATTCAAGATGACATTGACAATTTGACACTCACTCACTAACTTTCTCACTACTTCGGACTCCATACTTCATTTATTCATACATACTTCACAGGTTATCATTGCTTGCGCCTTCTTCCCTATCCCATCCACTCTGAGGAAAAACGGCGTGTTCATATTCATATCCATACTCGAGTATCCATATCCATATCCATATCCATGTTTGTCCATGTTTATACCGAACCATATCGATTTAGCTCTCTCTGCCACCTACCTGCAACGGGAAAATTTGCGCGCGTGTGTGTGTGTGTGGAAATGGGGTTATTTTATTTTATTTATTTCATTTTATTCGGAATCTAAACTAAAGTAAAGTAAAATAAACTAGACTAAAAAATAAATAAAAAATTCCCCACAGCACAAAAACTATTGAATCAATTATCAAACCCAAAGCCAAAGGCAAAGGCAAAGACCAGCTACTGATCCCGATCCCCAAAGAAAACGATTCCAAAAGCCATGAACATCAAGAGGTCCAGTGCAGTGGCAGTGACAAAGAGGCTTTTGCCGCAATCGATGTCATTATAATTATCATCCAAATTCAATTCAATCCCACAGATTCATCATTCCCCGATACGAAGACTCAAGTCTCAAGTCTCGAGGTACTGTACGAAGTATGACAGATGAATCAAACCTACCTATCAACCAGCGCAACTGGCTCTCCAGTCAGTACAGTACAGTACAGTACAGTACAGTTATCTTTTGGCTGCGGTGGTGGTCTGTCACCACTCACATACACTACGAGACGCTACGCACGCTACGCTAACACGCTACGCAGCACGCTCAAGCAGCCTCACGTCTCAAGCTTTCCATATGCACAAATTCACATTTGGGTGTGCGCGCAGAGCAGAGCAGGGCTTTGCATGGTGTGGTGTGGTGTAGTGTGGTGTTGCATGATATGATATAGTATGAACATGATAATTGATTAGCATTTTTAAGAAAAAAAAATTTACTGATTTTTTAATTTTTGAATTTTTTAATATTGGTTTTGGGGGGGGGATTAAAGAAACAAAAATACTTCAACTAGATAGGTACTAGAGTTATTATTATAAGTGAAATAGTGGAAATATTTTATATGTCTAGATATATAGATAGATATAGATATAGATATAATTTAACCTAAATATAGTATATATGATTTAACTCAACTATAATATGATATAATATGATATAGTCATGCTTTTATAATAGTTTATTAATTTATCGATTTATCGATTTATTTCTATTTTTATTTCTCTCTTTTAAATACTATACTTGTATGAATAAGGGAATTCACTCAAAGGAATTCACTTCAAGGGAATGACTTCCATACAATGGCAACTGTATTAAAGGTATTTAGGCGAAAGCAAAGGAGACTAGCTCTTTCAGTAGTGTCTATATAAGGCCTACTATTTCCCTCATTTAGCTAGCTCCTTAGATTAAATACAAATAGACATTTAGGGGCCTACACATAGTGGGAACCACGTCTTCCGTATCTCTCTCAAACCAACAATACTATAGTCTGTAATAGAACAAATACAATATTGGAGAAAATATCCCCCCTGTATTCAGATATATACCTATACACATAAAGTACGTACCGATTTCCCTTCCCTTCTCCCACTCCCTCCGTCCCAACCCATTACAAAACAAGAATCGAAATCCATATATTACATAATCACCAGCGGATAACGTCGATAAGTGATAAAAATCTTTCGACAGAGTACAAAGTAAAGTGTACTAGTGATAATGTAATATAAAGTAATGTACCTAATATAATATAATATAAAGTAAATTTTCAATGTTCCTACAACTGACTGACTAACTTATAACTGAACCCTGGACTTTCTCGAGGATTATTTTAAAACGTGTTTGAAATTTGAGGTGCTATCGTACGGTGTGCAGAGTATGAAGAGAAGAGGGTACTGGACCCTCGAAATTTTTACTCTGTACAAGACTACAAGTCGAGGTGGGTTTGGGGTGAGAGGGAGGGGTATCCATTCACTGGCTGGATGGTTGGTAGCTGGAGGTTGATTGTAGGGTTTTGATGATTCTGGAGGCTGGATGATGGATTCTGGATTCGGGATTCGGGATGCACTGTACGTATGTATATATGTATGCATGTATATATATATGTATGTACATCTTGTAAGTTGTCCTGCCACTGCCACTTTAAATCTGCATCTAGATCTGGATCTGGATCTGAATCTGTCGGATTGGTATTTATACTCCGTATAAAGTATCTTTCTGGGTCTATCTGGGTCTATCTGGGTCTATCTGCTGGCTGTACAGTACATACAGTATACATATTTACGGAGATATTCTCCTTCATGGAGATTGTGAGTGAGTGAGTGAGTGAGTGAGTGAGTACAGTATGTATGTATAATGTATGTGTATGTATGTACGATATACGATATATCAAATGCGAAATTGTCATATCTATCGACTATACAGAGTACACGTTTTTTACGCATAGAGATGGATATCTCTGGGTTGGTTTACCAGTCTCGGTTTCTGGACCGAGTACCAGTACGTACCGGTACCAGGAAACGTGGACTGTGTAATACCAATGTACTCTTCCATCCCATCCCATACATACGAATGATATGTAGGTACCCTACCCTATCATATATACCATACCCAAAAATAAATCCCGTAATAACTTATTAAGAAGAATAAATGATACAGCAAAACCTCTCTATAAGGATATATTTTCCGGTCCCAAAAATTTTCAGGGCTAAAAAAGACCTATATTGTTTTGCTGTACTCCAATTCATCATCCATCCATCACTCAAGTTTCAAGATTCAACCAACCGCCCGCGGGAAGTATGTGAAATTGTGACTAGGTAGGTGAGTGGAGATGAAATTTTACCTACCCTACCCTACATACCTCCGAGGTTATATGCACGGAAATATATGTGATCCTGGAATCGAATCGTGGTCGGGTTTTATCTACCTATACCTGTCTATCTATCCTTCTTTTCCTCACATGTTTGAAGCAGGAAGGCACGTGGAAGGGGTGGGAAGGGAAGGGAAGAGAGGTCACAATGTTACATGCGATGCGGAAGGTAACGGGATTGATTTATAGAGATTGTCTGACGTTTGGGTTTGCTGATGAGATTGGTAGGTTGGGAGGTGGTAAGTAGGTGAGTGGTATGTTAGATTGATTTGATTTGATTAGGGATAGATCTACTCGTAGAGAAGGATCGAAATCTATATTTATTATTTTATGATATAGTAGATAGATATCTACCTAGGCCTAGTATTTCTCTCGTGAACTCTCTACGAGTAGTAAACTCTTACTACTCTATAAAATTATATTATATAATTCTATATAATATCTAGGATATTATTATATAGTATAATAATAAATATCTAATTATCAAAAGACTCTCGATCTTCAAATCCGTATTCGAATTCGAATCGTCTTATACTTAATACTATCTATTAGTATATACTTATCTTCTTATATAGAAAAGACGTATAGAATGGGTAGGGTTTTAATATTAAGTGTAGTGCGTATTATATTAAAAGCTATGTATAATCTAATTGATTATATTAATTAAAATGATTATGTAATATGCTTAATATGTTTAGTCTATTTTCTAGATTGATTCTATAAGATATGCGTTTTCGTATATATACTCTAATTAAACTAAAATAAGTTCTATTTTTGTATTCCTTTTATATATACCAAAATGGCTATATAGTATATTTAGTTCTTTTATTCTATTGATCAATTAATAATTATTATGGATATTTATCTATATATTAGTTTATTATTGTATTTAAATTAAATAAATAATAGAATTCGCTAAAATAGTAGTTAGAGTATTCGTAATTTTCTATTCTAATATAACTTAGCTTATTTTGAGTAAAGTTAGAATATAGATTCTATCCTTTTCTAAAAGGGGAAAAGATTGATTCTATAAGATCAATAGTATAGCTTATTATACATCAATTCCTTCTTATAAATTAAATAAAAAAATAGATTTATAAATACCAACTTGTAAATTCTAATATTCCAATATATCGTTTTTGAATAATACATATAGATATCCAATTCGAAGTTTAAAAAACTTTAAATAATTAATATAAAATAATCTATAAATAGCTTTTCTATTGATTTATTACAATTTATAGGATTTCTAATAATCTTCTACAAAACCAATAATAATAAAAGAATTATAGTAGGAAGGGTATAGTTTTTTCTTAATTAAAATATTATTATATAATATTATTATATTTTCTGATTAATATATAAAATTACTTTATATATTTATATTATATTTTTTCTTATTAATAACTTTCTTTTAATTAAATTGTTTCAAAGTTTTTTATCTAATTAATTTTTGATTATATATAAATTTAAAAACTTTAATATAATATATTTCAGAAAGAAACTTCTTATCAATATTCTTAACAATAAAAAAATAATTTTATATTTCCTTTTGTTTATAAAAAAGATATTCAATTTTTAAAAAACTAACTAATTAAAAACTAAATATAATCTTATAAAGAGAATAATCTAAATGAGATATTTCTTGTATATTGAGAAAGTTAATATTAATTTAAATCTTAAATAATCAATTAATAATATCAGATTTAATCTTTTTAAATATTTTTTAAAATAGATTATTTCCTTTTTCGGTTATTCTGGATAACTTTTTTGTTTTGATAGCTATAGAAATAAGTAATATTCCAGATTTTTTTGAAAAACTATATAGAATCTTGTTTTTAAAGTATATATTGGGATTGTATATTTCTCTAATAAAAACTTTAATTATATTAAAAAGTTAGTTTAGATATCTAATAGTTTTTGTTTTTATAATATTAATTATTGGGAATACCTAAATATAATAAAAGAAATAATTAATAATTAATAAAATATAAATAAAATTGAGGTATTTTTTTTTATTGAATATATTGTTATTATAATTTATATTTTTAGTGGTAAGTTCTATATTTATTAATTTTTATACTATAAATCAAATTATATTTAGAATCTAAGCTTTATTGATTAATATAGATGGGAATAATTCTATAAAATTGAATTTGATAAAGGTAAATAGATAATCAATTTTAAAAAATATTAAATGAAAAATGTATTATTAAATATTATATTTAGTATATTTAAAATAATCTAAAATGTATTGTTTAATATTTAAAACTAAATAAAACTAATAATAATTTCTAAGCTTTTTAATAACTAATTTTGTAGTAAAATATCCTTTCTAATTATATATATATAATAGAATATTTAATATCTTATATTATTATATATAATACTTATTAATTCTATAGAATATATAAAAAAGTTTGTTTTTAAATAAGAAAAAATCCTTAATATAATATAGAAAAAATACTTTTTTTAAAATAAAAATTCTATTAAGAAATATATTAATAGAAATATAATTGAATATATCATAATACTACGGATTATTCTTATATTTACTAAAAACTAATTCAAAAGAGATATTGTTAGTAATAATTATAAATTGATTTAATATTACAAAATCCAGATTATCTCCAAAAGATTATAGTATATTGTAATCAATAATAATTTAAAATTATTTGGTTTTATGTAGATAAAGAAGTTCTTTGTAATTATTAATTCTATCTTTCCAAATCTATTTAGAGT